GCCTTGGGGAGCACAAAGCATTTTCACCTGGCTCTAAAACACAAGAGCCATGCATTATCTGTTCTGTGGGCGAGGCTGCGGGAGGTCATAGCCTCCTTGTCGAGGGAGTTGAGCTTTATCCCTCTTCTTCTGACCCCTGGCACATCGGGTTGTGCTCTCAGATGTTCAGCTCCTCAAAGAGAGGAGGGGACATCGGCACAACTGCCCTTTGGGATGGTCAATGTGGAGAAGATCTTGCACCGGAGAACCCAGGTGAAGCTGAGATGCCATCCCACGCTGAGCCGAGCATTGCCAAAGTTGTCCAGGAAGATTTTTCAGCCAGCCGTGGGAAGAGCTGTGGGCCCCCAGGTGATCCTTTGCATCCTCCTTGCTGAGATGTTCCCAGGGCTTCGGTGTCTGGTTTGGGCACAGGCAGGTCCTTGCCCTGAGGGCCGAAGTCTGCCACCGCAGCGGGGACTTTGCTGCCTGGATGATGCTCCAAGGACAGAGCATTCTCTGCTCACCTGGGAAATCACCTGAGAACTCTTCTGTACGCTGTTTCTCATTCCATGTAAGCTGTGGCAAAGCACCTGACTGAAGGAGATGAATTTAGGAATGTTCTGGCCAGCCTGCTGCTGATGGGATGGGCTTTGAAGGTCCCTTCCTCCACCAACCTCATCCTGGCCGGTGTTGGCAGAGGTTTGTGCTGTGGGATGGAGCCGAGGATGCTTTGCAGTGCCCAAGCTCCATGTTTGGGTGCAGATGTTGCAGATCTGGCTTCAGCATCTTCCCAGTGCCAAGGGGGAAGGGTCTGTGGCTGTGACCGTGGTTTTGCAGAGGGACAGGAGGTAGTGGAGGGTGACATCCAGCCCTGCAATGCTGCCTCCCAGCCTTGGCAGCCTGCCTGTGGCTTTGGGCTTGATTAATTTTTGAGTCCACGCTTGGCGTCATTATCCAGAGCCCCTCTTAAATCCTCGCTGTGGCATTTTCACTAAAGCTGATAAAAAGCTGAAGCTGTTCTTAGCTCTTGGATTTGAAAAGGAATCTCTTGAATAATGGTTTGATTTAACATTTTAGCATCTCTGTGGGGAGGAGAGCAGCTGGCCACACCGAAGCAGCTCTGCTGCAGCGACATCGCGGTGCCAAGATCGGCACTGAACCCAGAGCTGGAGTTTCTCAAACCAAATACCGACATACCCTCAACTTGCTGCGCCTCCCATGCAAATAAGTCCCCCAACACCAATTTACCACTTCACCAAATGCTTCCAATTGATGAAAACTGGAGGAAAGTGGAATAAAAGGGCTTTGGGAAGATGTTGCCACCCGTGTGCTGCAGCATTGATGCTCTGAACCCACCAGTGGGATGAGGAGCAAGCAGCAAGGGGCATGTAATGGGAACACGTACTGGGGTGGCTTCCAGTCCAGGTCCCGTGTGGAGCTTTGAGGGGGTTCCCAAGCCGGCTCCGTGGCTCCTAGGGAGTTCTGGAGCTCTCGGTGTTTTTCCTTGCAGCGGTGGGGTCTGAATTTGGAGGTCGTGGGGCAGTGGGGACCATCCCACTTCCTGGAGGCTGTTTTCCTGCCAAGCATGGCAACACCAGACTGTTCCTTAATGAAACCACCTCAGAAAATTAAATGTGGAGAGGGTCCTGCTCCTTCAGCAGCACTGAGACACAGCCTAGAACCCTGCTCAGAAACCCAAGTTGTGTCCTTTTGCCTTGGGCTGGTCCAGCACTGGGCTCCCAGTACAAGCGATGGGGATGTACTGGAGTGAATCCAGCAACCAGTGAAGGGTCTGGAGGAAAGGCTGAGCGTGCTGGGACTGCTTAGCCTGGAGAAGTTTCCAGGACATCTTATGGATGTATGTAAGTGTCTCAGGGCAGGAGTGAAGGAAAGAAGGATCAAGACTTCCCAGTGCTGCCCAGTGTCAGGACAAGAGGCTACTGGCACAAACCGGAATGCAGGACTTGTATTGAAGCATAATAAATGCACAAACTTCTGCTCAGCATCAGGGTGTACCCATGGCACTCTGCAACTCAGTGTTTGGAGCTTGTTTGTGTTGTGGAGGTGTGAAGGAACGACAGCAGTGAAGGCTGGTGTAAATTGGGCTGTTTTCTGCTTTCTGGCTGAGTTTTCCCCGGCATCACCTGCTGGAGGCTGGTTGGAGCTTATTTCTTAACAGTCCAGTGTTCTCTAATGTGTTTTTTTTCTTGCTTGGTTTCACACTTTATTATTACAGGTACCTCCTGTGACTTTTTGCCCTTCCCTGCATGCCACCATGGTCCTTTTCTTCATCCCCTTGTCTCTTCTGCCGGCTGTAAGCTGCCTGAAGCCCCTTTGGCCTGGGTTAATGATTTCACCTGCTGCCGTACCACGTGCTCCCTTTGTGCTGATATTTCCTCTGCATCCTCTGTGCACTTGAGCTTGGCTTTCTCATCCTCCCAGAGACGTAGGCTGGTCCTGGGGCACTGCTGGCAGCTCTCTAGGAAAGCGCTCGGGCTTTACCCTCAGCGAGCATCCCCTGCAGCCCTTTAGGAGCAGGGTAGCGGGGTTTGGGGTGTCCCTGGGGCTGGCCAGCAGTGGCACTGGGTGGCCCTTTGGAGCTTGGGTTCCCTTAATCTCCATCCAGATGTGTTGGGGGAGAATTAGCCTTCTAAATTTGCCTTTGAGATAATCCCCTGGAAGGGATTAAGAAGCTGTTTCTGCTGCCAACACGAGGGCTGCTCCCTCTTTGTGTTCAACTCCAAGGGTTGAAGGGAGTGGAAGGGGCTGTCCCCCATCTCAGGGATTTTTTTGGGTGGATACAAACACATGAAAGCAGCCCAAGAAGTTTTCCAAAAACTCCCTATGCTCCACCTAGGGAAATGAAGCTCTAGCTGAAGTCTAAATCCTCCTTTTTTTTTTTCCAGAAAGGGCTTTCTTGGGATTTCCAAAGCCCTGTGGGAGCTGGGGCTGGCTGGCCAGGGGGTCTGTGGGATGGGTGAGCAAACCCCAAGGGCTTGGGTGCTGCTGGTGACCCAGACACCCTGATTTTTTTCCTGGAAGATGCCCCTCCTCCCTCATCATGCCTATACTGGGACTGGGGACTGCTGTGCTTGCCCCAAGAGCCCCGCTCTTGCCTCTGGAGACTGGGGGCTGCTTTCTTGGGGCACCAAATAAAGTGGTTTTTTTTTAGAGTCTGTGTGTTATGAGATGTGGGAGGAGTGTGGAGATGCTTTACTGGGGTTTGAGTGAGGCTGCACCCTCCTTGGGGTTAACTCTTCAGCTCCTGGCTGTGTCCTGTCCAGCCCTGTGGGGTTTTTCTGGAAGGTTTGTCCTACTTCTGTTGCATTTGCAGCCCCTGGAGCAGCAGCAGGCAGCTTGGCCAAGGGAACCTCTTCTGCCTGGGCCACCACATCCGAGGAAGGGCTGGCCAGGAGCGTCCCTGGAGCCTGGTGGCAGCTGGTCCCTGGTACCCACCAGAGCCACGTGTCCTGGCCCCAGTGGGTTTTTGGGGGATGCTGGTGGGGCAGGCTCTGCCTTGGTTCCTCACCTTGGATGAGCCAGGTCTCCTAAAAAAATCCAACCAAAGCCCCTCTGCTGTTCATAGAGCCCCTTCCCCAGCCAGTCTGAGCTTGTGGGCTAAACCCAGCTGTGAGATGCGCGCTCTCTCAATTAGTCAAGTCTTAAATGACCCATTAAATAGATGAAATTACTCGTTCCATCCTGAATTTTGGAGCCACCAGCAGCAGGAGGCCCTGAGGAGTGACTGTGGTGGCCTGATGTCTGCTGCCATGTCCTGGCTGGCACAAGGTGTTCCTGCAGCCCCTTCCCTGCCTCTCTCCCGACTCTAAGAAGTAAATGCTTTTGAGAAGTGAACCCTGGAGGGTGTGGGGCTGAGCCCCTGGCAGCTGGGGTGGTCTTTTGGACTGAGCCCTGCTCTCCATCCCAGTGGCTTTCGCAGCAGCTGCTCAAGTTGTTTGTTTGCAGGACATGTCCTCAGGGAGCAGAGAGATCCGCAGGGCTGGGCAATCACCTTCAGGGATTGCAATCCTGGGCAAGGAGGGAGGAAAAAAAAAAACCCCAAACTTGAATTTTATGGATTTTTAAGGAGACATGAGATCTGTCTCTTCCCTGACTAACTAGGCAGCGTGCCGGAGGGGTTTGCCTGCATCCTGAGATGGGAACCTGCTCGGTGCAACCATCCAGTGGCTGCGGGTGCTTCTCCAACCGACCTCCTTCTTGCCTCTGCTAACAGAACAGATTTCATTGGGGAAATCACTGCCTTTGCCTTTTTAATTTGATTCTCCGTCTGTGAAATTACCAACTTGTTTTCATTAATCCTCTGAGCCTGACTCTCGGGCTCACGTTGGAGCCCAGCAAAGCTTGCTTGAATGCTTTGCGCTCTCCCAAAGTCCCTCCTGGGAGGCTTCGGGTCAGGCAGGGAGTTCTTAACCTCATTTCCAAGCTTCTCTTTTCTAACATGAAACTTCTGGACTCCAAATCTGGGCCCTGAAAAAGTTTTTACAGCCCTTAGGCACAAGAGATGTTGGAGAACAAAGTCGCTCTGAAACTCAAGAGGAGAAACCAGGGTTTAAAAACTCCCGTGAGCTGGGGGTATTTCTATCCTGGGTGCAGCCGGGTGTGAGTCTGGGTCCAGGCTGGACCAGCAAAGAATTTTTGGGGCATTTCAAAGAATTTAGGGGTGCAGGAGGTGGGACCGCATGGCTGGGAGCAGGGGAGGGGATCGAGATTTACAAAATGGTCTTTTGTACCTCACCTTGTGCCTGGCCCCGTCGCTGCCAAACCTCGCCGATTCTTAACCAATTGTCGCTGTTGCTGCGTGTAACAGAAGGAAACTGCGGTTCTTGCACTTCCTGGCCGTGACTGAGAGCTCGTGGGTTTTGCCAGCCCTTCGGCACAGGCCACGAGTGTCGGAAGCCCCTGAGACAAGGGCAGCAGCTTCTCTCCCACCCCGGGAGGTGCTTTCGGTGAGGCTCCGCACTGGCACGGTTTGGTTCTGGTCTCCGTAGCGGGGTATTTCCATGGAGAACGAGGTAGGTGGTGGTTTTAGATCGGCTCCCAGAAAAGCAGAAGCTGTTTTTCCGCGTTGCATCACGCCGGGTGACGCCTCTGCCTTGGATTTGGGTTCCCTAAATCCTGCTTCCTGGAGAGCCGGTGGTTCTCCTGCAGGGCTCGGGGGCTTGGGATGGTGGGGAATCCCTCTGCAGCATCCCGAGGGAAAAGTGAGAGTTTCTTTTGGTTTATTCTGTACAGATTGGGCCGGATCCGGCAGCTTTGGTGCAGAGCTGAACCGAGCCGGAGCCACCAGAACCCGGCTGGTGGAGGGGGACGCGTTTTGGGGACTGTTGCGGTACAGCCCTGACCCCAGCAGCAGATTTCAGCATCTTTCTGCTTTTGATTCCTAAAAAATGCTGGCGGAACGAGATCTTTATGCAGCGGCAGCCCAGGTTTGGGGTGGGACACCCTTGTAGTCGGTGTGGCAGAGCCAGGGTCAAGCCCCACGCGCCGGGTTTGGCAAAGTGACCTATTTCTTTCAGGATTTTCTTCTTTCTGGAGCCAGGAACGGTCTCCCGGAGGCAGTGGGGTTGCCCAGCACAGGGCGATGCTCTGTTTCGGCAGCCCAGAGGAAGGGAGGGATGCTGCCCCAAAAATCTGCAGAGCTGGGTGGTGCTGGTCCTGGTCCTGGTCCTACTGCTGTCGAGGCAGAGCTGTTTCACGAGGCCAGCATCGTGTAGCTGTATTTTCTGTCTCTTTTGTCCTATAAACTCTCTCTATTTTTATCTCCCTGGTCCCAGGCATGTTTTTCAGGGCTGGCTTGTCCCCGGTGTCCTTGTGGTGCCTGGCTCGCTCTGGGAGCTACTGTTCAACCAGGACCTTTTCCCTCCCAGTTTCCCATCTTAGTAGAATGATTTCCATTTAATTTGGCCTGGCTTTGATCTCTCTTTGTCCTGTCCTCTCCTGTTTTTTCCCTTTTTCCTCTCTTTTCCATTGGGAAAAGCAAGGAGAGAGGCTGAAGCCGCCTGGTGGGAGCAGATCCCACGCGTGCATCAGCGGCTGTGCGGGGACGGACGCTGCTGGGAGCAGGCGACGTGCCGGTGGCACTCCCCCACCAAACAGAATGTCCTGCGGCAAGGCTCGGGCAGTTTAGATGAAGGATCTGCAGCAGTTCTTCTTCCAAGGAAAGGCTCTGGAGCGGATGGCAGCAAGAAATGAGCTGGATTTGCTGGGGGCTGCTGCTCTTTGAGGTCACAAAGTGCTTCACACTTTTCTGAGTTTCATTACTTTGCCATTTGAGCTGCTAAGCTTGGAATCGGAGAAGTTTACACACGCTGCCGGTCGTTTAGCCGCGGGACAGGCTGGGGCCGAACGGGGGGGGGGA